ACTCCGATCTGTTGTGCGAGGAGGGATTTGATCTGGCCTAGTGGTCTGTAGTTGTTGTGCCAAGTGTGAATGATATGATATGAGTGCGACTTTTGACATGGCGGTGGCGTCCGGTGGAGTGAAGCGGTGGTGGCTTTTGATTGGTCATGGAGTAGTGGTGGCAGTTGTAGCTCTGATCTCACGGTGTGGTGGGATAAGGTAAAGATGATGGGGCTGGTGGGCTTGCGCCCTGCCGTGGGTCGGTGGGGCATGGGGCAATGGTTTTGGACATTATTTTTTTTTTGAAATTTTACAAGTCAAAAATAATTATAGATTTATGAAAATTTTATGATCTTAATTAGAAAAAATTAGTAAAAAATTACTCTAACGATTGTCTAAGGCATTAGGTCCAGTTAATTTTTTTTTTTATTGGTGAAAAATTCACACTTTGTGAAATAATTTGGTCAAAAGTTCTGGAGAATATTTTATTTTCAATTTTACCCATTGTCTTTTTTTATCTGTTTGACTTTTTATTGACTATTTGTTCAAATTTTTCGTCTATCTGTTCATTTTTTTTTGTTTTTTTTGTGCAAATTTTATCTGAGTAAATTTTCTATTTGTCCAAATTTTCTCTGTCCAATTTTTTATCTATTCAATATTTTTATTTATACAAGCTAAGTAATCTTCCATTATATCTCTCTCCGTCTCTCTCATTCTTACATGTTCAATACAAAAACAAAATCAAAAAATTACTGTTTCATCATCATCATCAACAACAACAAGATCTTGGTGGAGAGAGAAACCCACCGATAAACATTAATCAAATTAACAAAATAAGCATTATTTGTGTACTTATCTATGCTTAGGATTCTTGTACACCTAGGTTTCTTGGCCTACATATACATGTTTCTCCTATTGTATTGGAATTATTCAATAATACAGTTCATATACTTCTTCTTTTCTCTCTCTCTCTCTCTCTCTCTTTCTCTCTCTCTACTATTCTAACTTGGTATCAGAGCGAGAACCTTGGCTAGATTTGGACTGATACCCAGAACGAGAAGACCCTTTCCTGAATGAAGTATTAGAGTGGACTCGAGAACAATGTCGTTGGAGATGACCTGGAGCAATCTTGTGGCGAGTAAAGCATTCGCGAACCTGGCACTGAACAAAAGAATGAGTGGCTGGTAGGCCACGGTTATGACAATAATTGCATAAACTAGCAAGCTGTGAAGATGAGGAACTCTGTGACGATGGTGTAGCAAGAACAAAATCCACATTCTGAGATTTGAGAGCCTGAAATGAGTCTCCTTTGATTGTGACAACCAGAATGTTATTCAAATTGCACATAACGATGTCTTCCATGATCGCACCAAGCATATTGAGATAAATTGTCACTTCATACGACAACATGTTACTCGAGGCACTGTTCGTCTTCTCTTTGTTACCTTTGCTGATCAGACCACCGACCTCTTCACCAAAGCTCATCCTCTCGAACGCTTCTATGACCTCTTCTCCAAGCTCAAGTTGATATCTGCCTTACTACCTTGAGCTTGAGGGGGTGTTAGCTGTATACTTATCTATGCTTAGGATTCTTGTACACTTAGGTTTCTTATAAACTTAGGATTCTTGTGCACCTAGGTTTCTTGTACACTTAGGTTTCTTGGCCTATATATACATGATTCTCCTATTGTATTGGAATTATTCAATAATACAGTTCATATACTTTTCTCTCTCTCTCTCTCTCTCTCTCTCTCTCTCTCTACTATTCTAACTAGCATAAACCACACTAATGCAAAGCACAGATAAACATAAATCACGTTGGCCAAACCACAGATAAGCACGTTAAACATTCTCTAAATCAAAACTCCCCACGAATGAAAAAGTTGTAGAGAGAAAGAGAGATCGATGCTTGTATTTTGTTGTTCTATACAAATACATAAGCATGTATGTATCTGATTTGCATATAGATCTAACAAATCTCTATTTTAGTCCAAAGCTTTCTCAAATCTGTATCATCAGATTAGGGTGGCGATTGTGGTGACCTAGACGGTGTGCTACGGATTTGGATCTTGCGGCGGAGAAGCAGCGGTAATGGAGAAGGAGGAGCAGCGAAGAAATAACAACGGCGGAGAAGCCAAAGCGATGGAGGAGAGAACAAGAGAGAGAGAGAGAGAGAGAGAGAGAGAGAGAGAGAGAAAGCTACAAATCTAGATATCGCGACAGAGGAGAGTAGCGGAGCAGCAACGAGGGAGGAGCAGCGACAGAAAAGAAGAAGCAGCGGCGGCGGAGTGAAGGAAAGAGAGAGAAGAGAGATTGTGTTTTTGTTCTTCAAAACCATGTATGTGATATATATATATATATAGGGGTATTTTGGTCATTTTATTTAAGTTTGTCCTTTTGGACAAAATATTCTAGCGCTTAGACCTTTGGCCAAATAAAATTGAGATTTGGATTTTTGGCTCAAGTATCCTTTTAATTATTAAAGGAGAAACATTAATTTAAAAAACAAAATGACATAATTTTAATTTTTTAAGTTATAATTAAAAAAAAATTGTCATAACTAAATATAATATTATACCTAACTAAAAAACTCATGAGTCATAACTACAATAATATCATAACTAAAGAAAAAAATGACGTAATTAGGGGTGCATGTAGTACATCTTATTTAAAAAGTTGTATATTAGAATAATAGAATTTCCCTTAACATGTATATAGTTTATCATGAATCTGTAATTATTTTTTAAAACTAATACAAATTTGTTATTTCTCTATATTTTTTCATAGGGTAAATTTCACTTTGCCCCTTTTATAGTTGGCCACTTTCCCACTTTGGCACTTAAAGTTTATTTTTTCTCACTTTGGCCCTTCATGTTTCAGGTTTTCTCATTTTACTCTTAAAGTCAATTCCTGTTCAAAATTAGACAAAATGACACATTGATACTCACATGGCATAAAAATATTTTATTATATATAACTCACACTTCTGACATAAACGTAAACTCTATTATACTGTAATAATATATTTTGTATGTTATGTGACAGTTATTGTGATATTTTTTGTCTAATTTTGAGCAAAAGTTAGCTTTAGGAGTAAAGTATGAAAAGTTTGAAACATGAATGGCTAAAATAGGAAAAAAAAATAAACTTTAGAGGTCAAAGTGAAAAAATGACCAAACATAACAGGGCAGAATGTAATTTACCTTTTTTCCATACTGTGGTTGACTGTAATTTAAATAAGGATAAATTGCGGTTATGACTCATTTACATCTTGCCCCCCTAAATTTCAAAATTTAACAATTAACTTCTTAAAGTATTATCTTATTACAATTAATCTTTTTTATTAGGACTTCATTAGAAATTTACAAAAAATTCGATCATGTGTAAAGCACATGAAACATTTAGTAAAATTATAGGTTAATAATATTCTTATATGATGATCTCATTTACACTTTGTCACCAAGATCAGAAAGACAAAGTGCAAATGAAATCATCAAATAAGAGTATTATCATCCTAAAACAATCAATAACCTATATTATTATCTTAAAATTTTAATTTTTTTTAAATTCTAACAAAATCATAATAAAAAAAATTTAACTGTAATAAAATAATATTTTAAAGAGATTAAATATTGAGTTTTGAAATTTAAAAAGACAAAATGCACACAGGTCATAATTTAAAGGAGTTTACTATTATTTACCTTTAAATAATTGTGTCGGTATAATTTATTAAAAAAATATTATAATGACCAATTAACATTTGCCACCTCAATAGCCCTGCATATATATTCTCCAAGTACTCAAATTTTTTGGGACACCATCAATCCTAATGGATGTTCAGTAATGCTACATATAATTTTTTTTTTCTCACTTCAAGAAAATAATGAGATTTACAATTATAAATGCATATAAAACTTATTTAATTGTATTTTAAAATCAGAAAATGACAGCCCCTGTTTTACCAAGAAAATTAAAAAATAAATTAAAAAAAATAAAATTGTATGTAACATTTTTCGAGTGTAAAATCATTTTGTTCATGGAACCATAGTAGGAAAATAAAGAAGCTCAATCTTTTGTTTAAATGGTCAAAAAGAAAATAAATAAAAATGTGGGCCATATATACAAAAACAAAACGGGAAAAAAGAAGAGTAAAAAATAAGGGCTCTGCTAGAGAGCTCTAATTAGAGCTGCTCAAAAGCAGCTGTAATAAGCTGTCACCCTTAAAAAAAATAAAAAAAAAATAGAGGGAGGTAAAAGACAAAACAGGAGGGGGAAAAGGACAAATTAATGCCCTTTTAGAGCTCTAATTTTAGAGGTCTCACTCATTTCTGAAAAAATAAAGTGAGATGACGCATTCTATGTGTGCATTTTAAGTTTTCATTTTATCATTAGTTCTACTGTTTTATTTCACTTGATGAATTATATTCATACTTGAAAAATATAATTTATGCAGAACTAGTTTCAAAATTAGTTATTTTAGTTGTTTTATTTGTTTTTCTACGAATATATGTATAAAAAAAAATAGAGAGAGTATGTAATAACTTAAATTGCTTTTTTGATTATTTTAACTAAAAAAAATGCCACTCCCCAAACAACTGTGATAACTTAGTGAAAAATGCTTGGGAGCACTTAGTGCTCCCACTAATTAGGTTGCAGTGGGTCCCGTCATTAATGATGTGATGTTTTGGTCTTGGAGTTGTATTTTTTTTTTTTTTTTTACTTTTTTAATGCATTAGTGCTATTAGTGGTGATGTTTTTAGTGGGATGAATCATTGTTGAAACTTGCATATTTCCAATCGAGAAACAGATGTATTCAAATCTTTTTGCTCCATCTAGTTTTCAGGGCAAGTGTCATCAAATTTTGTGATGTGTTTTATTTGACCACCTTTTGTTTATACAGTTGACTTTTTTATAATAATTTTTTGGCTTTTCAATTAAAATTATGACTTCTCAAAATAAGCTTAAACCAAATTGATTATAATACTACAACTTGTTTGTATCACATTGCAATTTAAACTGGATAACTATATGTTAAGCTTATTCTTAGAGTTTATAAGATAGGATAGCCATTGCAAATCATGCATAGTCTTCTTAAAATAAAATACATTTAAATGAGAAAAGTTGCATTTAATAATTTGCAGTGTCGCTTAGTTGTTGAGTCGATATTCTTCAAGTCCAATCAAAACTCAAGCACCTAGGAGAAGAGAAAAAAAAAATTACGTTAAAAAGTGAACTATTCAGATCACTAAGGTTGACCCCAAAATGAGCACACCAAGCCCAAACGCTCTCTCAAATTGAGAGAGTCAACTTGAGAGAATTCAGACATGAAAGGGGATCAAAAACCAATGCAGAAAAGAATTTGCAGTTGATACCGAAATCATCATGCTTGACAGGAACTATAACTGTGTTTTTTTATCACCTTCAAAATGTCAATGTTGAAGAATGTGATCATCTGGGTGAAGTATAACATATCTAAGTCCTCATGATTTATGTGTCACAAGACAAACTAAAGTTTGTCGGCCAAGTACAGAATTGTGGCAATTTCAGTATCAAAAGCAGGTATATTATAGAGTCACTAAGAAAGTGGGAAGGTCATACCTACTCATGATCACACTGCAATCTTAGCTCTTCTGCCTCCATGAAGACCATCAGTTCCAAGAAGGTTGTTCTTGATCACATGCAGTTGAGTAACAACACGATTAATGGTCAGTCGATCTCCTGGTAATTCTTGTGAACAGGCAATTCCAATATTAAGTATTGAAATCAAGCACTCCTGAATTTTTCGAGTGTCAGCAGAGCTCTGATTCTGAATGTTGTTGGTGTTTGAGCTTGCCTTCCCCTTTTCTCTTTGTTGAACTAGTGTTGGATCAACAATGCTCACTACTTCTTCAGGTAAAACCATCTTAACAAAGTTGTGAAGATTCAAACTATCATTAAACATGTTATCGGTAGGTTTCTTCCCCGTAAACATTTCCAATAAAAGGATACCATAACTATACACGTCACCAGATGTTGTCACCTCATTTCCCATACCATACTCTGCAACGTACAATGTAAATATAATTGTAAAGATGCTTGCTCAGAAGCATATCAAAGAATAGTAATGCAAACTTGACTATTTAAAGTAAAATAGGAAACGATTATGTCTCTTCTTGGTGAGTTAACAAAATTTGATTTGTCTGCTTGTATCATGAGAATGGCCTAACTTGAAACAAGTTTGATTGTTTCATAGTGACAATTATGGAACCAATTAGTTGAAGCTTGGGTGCACAATTAAACTGAATCCAATTTGTTTTTATTCATCAAATTGATTATATAAAAAGAAATAGATATGAGAACTGACTATTAATAAAAGAGGAATTTTGTATTATTCTATTTGGTTATTCTATGACTACAGACATAGCAGATAAACAAATGGTAGATATTGTAGGAAGTTATGCTTTCACATTTTACGCGAAGAAAATACTAAGATTTCTCGATATTATATCCCCATTGACAGCAGAAGTAAATCCATATACAATTATATAAAAGAAAATGCTAGAGGCCCAAAATTTTCTACCAAATGTCTCACATGGATGTGAACCCCACACTTATGTGGAACCCACCCCATGTGAGACATTTGGTAAAACTTTTGGTAAAAATTTTGGCGTCCCTAGCATTACTCATATATAAATTATGATTATGATTTGCAGACAAGTAGATAAGAGATGTACGGAAAATCCTCTGAAAAATGGGGGTGTCTGTTGTAAGTTCTACAACAACAAAACCTTAATTTATTGATCCTAAAAATATAAATTTCTGGCAGTCTCTTCTTTGGGTGGTTTTTGTTGGAACTCTATTAACAAATAATAAATAAGAAATCAAGTTTTCTTAAGCAAGAAACTAATGAAGTTAAGAACCTTAATTCTTTCAAGTTTCCTATTTTTTGACTAAATTATGCACCTTGACATTAGAAAAAAGAAAAAAAATTAAAAATAAAAACTTTAATTTACTTTTAAATAACACATTAGAAAAGATCTGCCAAACATTTATTGATTTTTATGCATTTGAGGACGAAATGATGTTGTGAGGAATCAAGCCAAAGAACAATCAAATTTACTTCAGTGATTGAAGGAGCAGACCTGATGGAAATGCAAAACTGACTCTAGATTCTGTTGGAAATTGAAGGTGAAAAAAGGAAGAGAGAATGAGCTAAGTGGTACTTTTACCTGGAGCAGCATAACCAACAGATCCTCTTATGCCAACAGAACTTGATTGATTTACTGAACAGTCATAGGTAGCTTCTGGAACGAATCTTGCTAACCCAAAATCACCTACATGGCCAATCATTTCATTGTTCAGAAGAACATTACTTGGCTTCAAATCACAATGAACTATTGGTTCCAGGCAATGATTGTGAAGATAATCAAGTGCAGAAGCAACATCAATGGCAATATTTAACCTTTGTAGGAGGTTTAAATTTCTTGACTCAGCATGCGCATCATCTTTGTTCTCATTTGGATGCAACCACTCCTCTAGGCTCCCATTGTCCATGAACTCATAAACTAGAGCTTTGAAATCATTACCATTGTAGTCAACACTTGAACATGCTGTGACAACCTTGACAAGATTTCGATGTTTAATGCGCCTCAAGGCCTCACATTCAGCAATGAAACTCTTGGAAGCTCCATGAAATAAAAGGTTTAGTACCTTCACTGCTACAACTTTTTCACCTTGATCAAGAATTCCTTTGTACACTGAACCAAAACTACCCACGCCAACCAAATTGGCTAGAGAGAACCCATCAGTAGCTTCAAGTAGATTTTGGTAGGACAATTTCAAAAATGAGTTCCCAGAAAATCTGAAATAAGGTACTTTTGTTGTATTTCTAGACCAACAGAGATATAGGAAACACAACATCAGAATTAGTCCTAGAAGCCCAACTGATGTGGAGATTATTAGTGTCAATGTGAGAGTAAATCCTTTCCTTTTGAACACCTTGGAGTTGCAGCTATGCAACTCTAATTCTGGTATACCCCCACAAAGCTTGTCATTTCCTTTAACAGAAATAGCAGTTATGTTCTGAAATATGCCACTTTTCGGTACTACACCCTCAAAATCATTGAATGATAGATTTAATTTTTGTAAGAAGAGAAAGGCCTCCAAATAGTCTGGGATTTTTCCTGAGAGATTATTGTGAGAAAGATCTAATTCCTCAAGACCTCTCAAATAACTTAAAGATTGAGGAAGAGTTCCCCAAAAATTGTTGCTTTGTATGTATACTAATTGTAAGAAATAATGTATAGAGAAAGAGAGAGAATAAATTGTATGTATTATTATTGATTGATATATATTGATATCTATTACAATGATTCATGATTCCTATATATAGAAGAGGGTGAGTGTGTAGTAGGTAAGGAGTAGGTGAAGTGGAGGTGGTAGTGGTGTAGTGGGTTAGGTTTAGTAGAGTAGGTTTAAGTGGGTGAAGTAGGTGATAGGTTTTAACAGCCCCCCGCAAAGGGGGATAGGAACTAGCCAACTTGAGTTTGGAGAGAGTAACAAAACAAGAAAATAGACGAATACATAAAAGAAAAGAGGATAGGAGACACTGTATGGTCGTGTCAGACCATTGGTGAAGACACTGGATGGTGGTGTCATAACGTTGTAGAGGACACTGGATGGTTGTGTCAGACCAATGTAGAAGACAGTTTATGGGGTCATGTCGGACCGTTGTAGCAGACAATGTTGTGACAGTTGTTGTGACAGTTTACGGAGTCTTGCTGGACCCTTGTAGAAACTAACCGGAATCAAATGTCGGGACAGTTTACAGAGTCTTAAACTGGAATTTCAAACACACAACATTTGGAATTTCATCAAGCCTTCATCTGAGTCCCAATTTTATTTTTTTGTTGGTTTTCCTAAAGTTTCATTTTTGCTTCATTGAGTTTTACGAGTCACCGATTTTTTGATAATCTCAAGATTTATGGAGATGGACATAAATGGGGGTCAGTGATAGATTTTTTTTCTAAATTACATTCTATTTTGGATTAAATTGCTTTACTGTATCTAATGTAAAAGCATGGTATTAGTACTTAAAAATCTCTAGGTTTTCTGCTTCAAGTCTTTAGTCCACCTAGTAGTAGTAAGCAAGGCCTACTAGCCTGAAAAGTTTTAAGCCGTATACTTCAGTATGAGACTTTCAGGTTGCCGATGGATAATGCAATCCAACCACATTGGGATTCTAGGTGAGATTCATATGTCCTTTTTCATGTTCTTCTAATCCTTTGCACGTAAATACCATGCCACTATCTGCAAGTCACTGTTTACAACCCAAAGCAGCACCCATAATCAACACCAAAACCCTTCCCTACAAAGCTCTCACCAACCATGATTGTCAAATTCTTACGATTCACGATTCGATACGAATTTCAAGCAAAACGATTAAATTTGTGCAACTGAATCTTAATTTGAGTGAATCATACAATTCAATTGTGATTCACTGCAATTCACTTCAATTTAGTTCTATTTGCATAATGTATGAAACGACATTGCTTTTGGAGAGAGAGAGAGAGAGATGCGTTTTTAAATGTACATATGCATATAAACAATTTAGTTATATTGATATTTATTTCATTTTAAATCTTATGTGGGTATTTTTATATGTATATATTTACATAATACAAAATAATTTTATATTCTGGTAAATAAAGTGAGTATGACAACAATTTTAAGTGCTTCTTGCAGCTGAACAAAGAGTGAAAATGCACTTTCAGAAGTTGAGGATTTTAAAGAAGATTCTGAGAATGGCAGTGAAACTAATCTAAGTACGTTTAGCTACGAACAGCTGAGGGCTCATTCTGAAAATCCAGTTACTGGAATTGATTTTAAACGACGAGAGGTTGGTTGATTCAAACTTTTATTACATTTAAAACCCTTTATTTTTGGCTTATTTCATCAAAATTTTCTGTTTGGTTTTTTTCAGGCTTATCTATCTGATGAGGAATTCCAGGCTGTACTGGGGATGCCGAAAGAAGAATTTTATAAATTACCGAGATGGAAGCAAGACAGGCATAAGAAGACCTTTGATCTCTTCTAGAAACTGATTTCCCCGCAAATGGATTGATTTCTCTACTTTTGCAACTTTACTAGCAATGCCTCGTTTGTCTTAGCCTCTTTCCTGTTTGGTTGCAAATGTCTAGCATTTTGTGTCCTTTCCCTCTAATAATCTTAGTTTTTTAGTGTCGTTATTGATTATGTGATGTCCGCCTCCCCCCCACTCTCTGTCTGTCTTAACTGCTGCTGTTGCTGCTGCTGTTATGATCACATATCATGATTTTAAGGACGGCATGCAGATGAAATTCTTTGATTTGGTCAGTATGTATCACCGTTTGTGGTTTTTGGAGTCCCTTTTTTCGTGTTTACTATTTATTTGTCAAAGGAAGAGTGTATATGTATTGCATTTGAACTAGATTCCAATATTAAGGAACACACGCTTGTTCACCTCACTACTCCACTAAACCTACACTACACCACTACACACCACTACACCTCCACACACTCACCTCACTCCCTATCCTTACTACTACACACTCACCTCTTCTAATATATAGGACATCATGAATCATTGTAATAGATATCAATATATATCAATCAATATATACATACAATTTATTTCTCTCTTTCTCTATACATTATTTTCTTACATGGTATCAGAGCTGGTTTAAACCTAGTATTTTCGCTTCCTCCGGCGGGCGGCAACCTCACCTTAGCCGCCCGCCGG